GTTATCTTTCCGAAGGCTTAGGATAACTCCCATCTATGAAAATAATTTTGTTCCTAGCTGATAGAGAAACAACCAGATTTCTCCTCCATCTTGGAAATCCATTCCTTGAAAAGGTACATGAACAAGTGAGATGCCAAGTATATCAGAAGACAAAAGATACAATTGACTCGATTGTTCAGGAACAAACACAACAGAGGAATTGTTTGTTGTAGTAGAGTCAATTGTCATTATGGTCTAAATTGATCGTAAATGACAATACAAAGCGATGAAGACAAAGGAAGTAGAACGGAATAAAGGAACTGAGTATACCATATCTCTCTATTCATCGGAAGAACACAAATTTCACTAACTTGAGAGCACCGATTGAAAACCTTAGCTCCAGATTTGCATCCATCATCGACTTCGATACACACCTCCAAACCTTTAGCTAAGCTAGATCAGCGACATAACAAGTGAAAAAACAAAAACAAATATCCAGTACACCGACTTGGTTACAGAGATGCGTTAAAGACCAAATAACCAATGTAAAACAATAAGGGTAGAATCGTTCAAACGAAAATCACACAGATAAGCAAGATATCTGCTTTAATACCATGTCAATATATTAAAATCAAGATGAAACAGAGAAAGTAAAGGAACTAAATGTATGAACTAGAGAGAGAAACTTAGAAAATATCTTGGCACTTTCATTACAGAAATGATTAATCGCCTTTCCAGAGTACTGTACATACCCTTTTATACAAAATACACTAAGTTCCCTATAATACAAAGTAGTCCCAATTTAAATAGAAAGAAAAATACTGTGAGAGCTGTCGACTCGAGCTCTCTGTCAGTTGGGCCGCAAACTCATTCTTATTTTGAGGTCCAACAGATATTTCAAACGTTCCATAATTATCTTCAACTTTTGTTCTTCTCAAAGAGATGACATGTCACTTTTCTATTCTCTGTTGTTATGAATCCATCTTTTCACATTCATCGTTTCTTGAGGAATTACTTGATTCTTTTTGTAGAAAAGTAATAAAAATTGATTTCATTGTATTGAAATCAAGGACATTGCTTGGAACAGATTTCCTGCAGATGAATTTTTGTTTCTTGGTCGACTTCCTGATGGATTTTTTTTCGTTTGTCATTTTATTTCTCTAATCTACCAATGTATGTAACTTTTAAGTTTCTATAGGTTGCTTTTTGGATGCCTTTTTGGTTCTTGCAATATTACTTCTGGGTTACGATTAGATTGTAGTAGTAATTTTTTATGTTATATGTTTTTGAGTTTCTTTTGAAATACTTGTTGTTTGTGCATATCATTATTTCTCATTTTTTAGCTCTTTTTCAAGGGTCTTTTGAGTTTGGTTGAGTCTCATTTTTTAAATCCTTTTGTTTCACGGGTTGTTGATCATACACATAATACATAAGCATGTCCGTTTAACTTGGGTTCAGTTGATATCTATGTCCTTCAATTTTGGTGTGTATAAATAGTCATTTAAACCTGAATAAAATTGAATAAGTAGACATCTGCATTCTACGTGACATAATACGCGTAGGATGTGATGCAAGATGCATGTGTCTATTTGCTTTAACTTCATACAAGTTTAATCAAATAAAGCTAATTTAAAAGACAAGTTTATATATTATGTCATTTGACTTTTGTCATTTTCATTTAAAGTATTAAATATTTTAATTGATCTTTTATATGAGTTGAAACAATTGACTTGCGATGTTGGGCCCGTACTCATCACGGGTGCTCTTATACTAGTACTATATCTATATTTATCTATTTATATTACCTGAAAAGCTTAAACTCTCTTATTTGAATATTAAATTACTAATATCTCCAACTTAAAACACTCAATTTAGTATATTTTCTATATTATATATTATATTTATTTATATCAAATTATATTAAAAGTAAACACATTTTCATATTGAAAGGTTGTGATTTTTTCAAATGGCTATGACTTTTTCAAAGAGTTGTGACTTTTCCGATGGGTTGTGACTTTTTTGAAGGGTTGTGACTTATCTGATAAGGCCAATAAACATCTATTCAAACTACCCTTTGTTGGCTATAAACAAAGGAGTTTTCTAACATTTTTAAAACTATAAATTTTCTAAGTTTTTTATTCTTCTTCTTCTTAAAACAATATGGCTAGTGAGAATTGTTCAATTATACGATAACAATATTTTTTGTGGTTAAATTAGTCATATGAACAATAATTGATGCACTAAGGAGAATGAAATAACTCAACTGCAAACAAGAAGACTATTTAGACAATTATTTTATTTATATTATAGTATATGAGAAGTAGACTTTTTTTCAGATTGAAGGGTTGTAACTGTTTGAAGGGATGTGACCTTTTTAAGGGTTGTGACTTTTCTGATTAGGCACAATAAGCATCTTTTCATACTACCCTTCGGCTGACTATGAATAGAGGATTTCCTCATATTTTAAAACTACGAATTTTCTAAGTTTTTGATTTTTCTTCATCTTAAAACACCAATTTGGTATATTTTCTATATTTTATATTATTTATATTCTATTATATATTATACTAAAAGTAGAAGCATTTTCACATTGAAGAATTGTGAGTATTTCAAAGTGTAGTGACTTTTTTAAAGAGTTGTATTTTTTTCGATGAATTGTGACATTTCCGAAGGGTTATGACTTTTATGAACTACTGTGACTTTTTCTATTCAGCACAAAAATGTTTGTACAAAATATTTATCAAAAAAAATTAAATAAATAAATAGAAAAAGTATAACCTAGAAAAATAATTAATTTCTAAGTGGACAACGACGTCAAAAACTTGTTGTGTCCAAACGCACACTGTAACACCCCTAAATACTAACCAAGAGTCTCATGTCATTACACCATTGCTTAATTACTACAATATGTTTTATTCTCATTTTGGGAACTTAAAATTTTGTGATATTTGCAAACTTGCTTAACATAATTGTGATCATAATTTAAGGAATTGTATTGGGGTATTTACGTAATATTCTAATTAGAATTATTTATAACTTGAAAGGGAGGTGAGGGATATACATATAGGTAGGGGTGTTCATGGTTCAATTTAGATCGGTTATTGGTTATAACCAAAACCAAACCAAAATTAATTGGTTTTTAGATTTCTAAAATCAAACCAAACCAAATCAAAAAAATAACCTTCGGTTTGGTTATTGTTGGGTTGGTTCGGTTTGGTTTAATTTTTTTGGTTATTTCGATTTGAAAGTATATAGTTTGTTGAGGGCATATGCATCTCGACAGGGGCGGATGTACAGTGCTTCGAGGGGGGTCATCTGACCCCCCTCGGTAAAAAAATTACACTATATATATAAGATTGATTTTTTTTATGTACATGTATATATTTAAAATTGAACCACCTGAATATATATCAAAGGAGTAGCCCAATTGTTGAGGGGGTTCAAGATTTCGCTCAAGTGAGCTTTGGGTCGCGGGATCGAGTCCAATAAACAACATTTTTTTTTGTTGTAATTTTTAGCGATTTTACAGGCTGTTTTTTTTTTAAAAAAAGTTAAAGATAGGCCAGGCCCATTTTTATTGAACAAAAGGGGCAAAAAAAGGCCCAGATCAGCCCATGTCCACAAAGCCTAAATTAAAGTCCTAAATCATTTTTTCTAATTACAAAATAGGAAACTACCCTAGAAAAGAAAGTCAGCAAAACAGAGAAATTTTCAACCATTGAAAATTTAGAGACATTTAGAGACATTGAAAACCAAGCCTGTTGCTGCTGCTAGCCTGCTGCCTGCTGCCCTGGTGGAGGAGTGGTGGTCCTCTTAATCTCATTCTCAGATTCTCTCCTTCAAGCTCCATTTGTGATGGCAACCTCTGTAAGTTTTCTTTTTCGTTTTTTTTTAATTGTTATTTTTCAGAATTCTATGCTTTGATTATGGTATTTATTGATGTGTTATTTTATTTAGCTAATTGAACTCAGATATTCACTTCTCTTAACAATTTTTTATTTTTCATATAAAAATTTCAATTCTATTCATTGATTATGAAAGTTATAATTTTATTTGTTTGGCCTTATTTGTTGATTTTATATGTTTATTATGGACATTCAACATTTCTTAAATGGATATTAACTTTTATTTCTGAGATTCAAACTTTTGTTCATTGTTTATAATTTGTTTTGGTCCTTATTGCATATTTAATTTTTGTAAGTTCTCACTAAATTTTTATTACGATTCAGTCTCAATATTCAGTGAAGAAGTATTTTACACAAGTACCGAAATCAACTTTAGCCTCTCAAAGTTATAGTCAATCTAATCAAAAAGAAAATACTAATCATTCAGAAGTGTCGTTAGATTCTTCTCAAGAATTTGATTTGAGTTCTTTAAAGTTTGATCCTGGTGAAAGAACATCAATATTGAACTATCATCCAAACCACCGTGATGTTATTAGAAGAGCATACCTTTTGAATGGTCCTTGTCAACCTCGTTTGGCGGTGCAAGAGTATCCTCAAACATATATTTTTGGATCAATGCGTCGTTTTAATCATGAATGGTTTGATGATATATATCATGATTGGTTGGAGTATAGTGTTAGTAAAGATGCAGTCTATTGTTTGTATTGCTATCTTTTTAAAGATCATAACACTAATCAAGGAGGAGGGGAGACATTTTCAACTATAGGATTTAAGAGTTGGAACAAAAAGGGTGGTCTTGACAAACATATTGGTCTATCGAATAGCATACATAATCAATCAAAAAAGAAATGTCAAGTTTTACTACAACAACGGCGGTCTATTCAATTTGCATTTGAGAGGCAATCTAATCAACTCAAGCATGAATATTATATGCGCTTAAGTGCGTCGGTTGATGTAGTAAGACTTCTCATAAGTCGGGGATTTGCATTTCGAGGTCATGATGAATCTAAATCATCACTTAGTAGGGGTAACTTTCTTGAAATTCTCTCATGGTATGCAAAAAAATGTGATAAAATTCATGATTATGTTTTGAAACATGCTCCTATAAATGATCAAATGACTTCTCCAATGATTCAAAAAGATATTGTGAGTGCATGTAAGATAGAGACCGTTAAAGCTATTCTTGACGAATTAAATGGTGACTACTTTGCTTTACTAGTTGATGAATCCTTTGATGTGTCACGCAAGGAGCAAATGGCTATCGTATTTCGTTATATTGATAGAATGGGATTTGTAATGGAGCGACTTATTGACATTGTTCGTGTTGAAGATACTAGTGCTTCATCTTTAAAGGAGGCAATTTTTAATTTACTTGCTCAACATTCTTTGAGTCCATCAAGTGTGCGTGGACAATGTTACGATGGGGCAAGTAATATGCAAGGTGAGATCAATGGCCTTAAAATGTTGATTAGACGAGAAAGTAAATCGGCTCATTCAATCCATTGCTTTGCTCATCAACTTCAACTAACTCTTGTTGGGGTCTCTAAAAAGTGTGTTGAAGTGGGAAAACTTGTAGTATTGATCTCAAATATTTTTAATGTATTGGGATCTTCTTTTAAGCGTATGGATAATTTACGAGATTCTCAAAAATCAACAATTCAAGTGGCATTAGATATGGGTGAACTTACAACCGGTAGGGGCTTGAATCAACATCTTGGTCTTTCAAGAGCTTGTGATACTCGTTGGGGATCTCATTATAAATCTTTTAACAATTTTATTATTATGTTTGGCTCTATTCTTGAGGTTCTTGAATCACTTGCTCTTGATGCAAGAAGTATGGATGAAAGAGCCAAGGCAATGGGACATCTTGAAGCTTGTCAAACATTTGAGATTGCGTTTATGTTGCATTTGATGAGAGACGTCTTAGCAATCACAAATGAGCTTAATAAATGCTTACAAAAAAAAGAGCAAGATATTGCAAATGCCATGCTACTTGTTGAAGTAGCAAAGAGAAGGTTGCAAGTCTTAAGAGATAATGAATGGGATTCTCTTATTGCCAAGGTATCTACATTTTGTATCAAACATGATGTTTTGATACCTAACTTTGAGGAGCCATATGTTAGCTCTTTAAGATCACGGCGAAAACTTGCTAACTATACAATCTTACATCATTATCGTGTTGAAGTGTTTTGCAATATCATTGATTGGCAACTTCAAGAACTTAATGATCGTTTTGATGAGGTGACTACCGATTTGCTTCATGGAATTGCTTGCTTGAATCTAATTAACTCATTTTCAAGTTTTGACATAAGAAAAGTAATGAGAATGGCTGAATTATATCCAGATGACTTTGATGAATCCAATATGAGTATTCTTGAGAATCAACTTGCAAGTTACATTGTTGATGTTCGTGATGTTGATGAAAGGTTCTCCGATCTAAATGGGCTTTGTGATCTTTCCAAAAGATTAGTTCAGACAAAGAAACATTCAAATTATCCTCTTGTATTTCGCTTAGTTAAACTTGCTCTACTTTTACCAGTTGCCACTGCCTCCATTGAAAGAGCTTTTTCGGCAATGAAGTTTATCAAGAATGACTTGCGGAGTCAAATGAGTGATGATTTTTTTAGTGGTTGTTTGGTGCCTTATTTAGAAAAAGATGTATTTGATAAGATTTCTAATGATGTTATTATTAAGACATTTTAAGATATGAAACCTCGTAGAATACAATTGTAAAAATATATGTAGTTGTATTTTCAAATGTAAAACTATGTTTTGATAGGTTTATCCGCATGTTTGGTTTCTTAACCTCCCTTCAAGGTTGTGTAGTTTTGTAATGTAATGAAGTCATTTTATGTCAAAAAGAATTTTTGTGAAGAAATAGTATTTTCGCTTTGATTTGTGTTTTTTGTTAATCTTTCTAATGTTAAATTTGTGCTTGCTCTCCATTTGCACTTTCAGGAGCCGAAGAGAATTCTAAAGGAATTGAAGAACTTGTAGAACTTTTTGATTGAATTGTGCTACTTTATTATCATTTTATAGATATGTACTTTAAATTTGTTTCTTAAGATGAGTTGTAATTGTAAGAAATTATTTGAACTAAGGATTTTTTTTGTTAACCCGTTTGTTAATCAATCCGTTCATATATGACCCGACCCGTTTATTTATGGATAATATTAGCGTGTTTAATTTTTTTTTTGAACCCCCTTGATAGAATTCCTGCCTCCGCCACTGCATCTCGATAGACACAAATACATAGTACATAAACAATCCATAGAAAAATTGTTGTGAATTTAATTAAGCAATACTAGTCATTAAATAATTGAAAGAGGACTAACAAAACTCATTAAGTTGTTAGAAGACTTATTTCTAAAAAGAGAAAGCAATTTATATATGTAGTGGAAAATCAATACTAGCAGAGTTGTCTTGGATTGATATATAACATATTGAATCTTACATGTTGTGGCAACTAAGAATTTTACCTAATAAAAAAAAAAAATGTGCTCCAAACTGATCATTTACCATCTTCTTTAGCTTAGCTTAAGCTCTAAATTACTCAATGCTCAAAGTAGTGTCCTGATATTCTGGAAAAAAAAATACACTATATTAGGTAATATTTACTAACATAAATATGATCTAACTTTTTTTTCTTTAGAAAGGACAATAAGAGAAAAGTAAAAAGTTCTATTATGGATCAAATTTTAAGAGCCAAAATAAACTAGAAGAAAGAATTAATAAGTTGTAAAGCAGTACTTTTTGCAACTATTTCAAGTTTTTGAAATCAAAATTTCAGAACCAATAAAGAAACGGGAAGGGATAACTAGTAAGTTGTAAAATAATACCTTTTTCAACTATTTCAAGATTTTGAATTTCTTGTAAAAGATCTTCAATCTTACATTATGTAGATGTTGACGTAACCATTGTTGACTACAAACAAGAGCTTCAGCCGTCTTTGGAGACAAAGAACTTCGATAACAATAAAAAATGCGATCACTAGTGCTAAAAACAGATTCTGAAGCAACAATAGATGTAGGAATAGCAAGCATATCTCTTGCAATTCTAGAGACTACTGGATATCTTTCAAATGAAGCTTTCCACCAAGTTAAAATATTAAAATACTTAATCTTTTCTACATCGTCCTCCAAATACTTGTCAAGATCAGGTTTATTATCAATATTATTATTTTCTTTTTCAAGAAATTTATCCCATTGAGATTGCCACACATCAGAAGTATACATTGCACTAACTTCACTCACCGCATCAGTTTGATCTCCAATAGTTTCACAAGAAGTCCCAACAATAGATTTTTTGTAATGATTATATAAGCTAGTTAAAGTATCTGTTACTTTGATAGATTTACTACATCTCTCCACAAAATTATAATAATTCTTAAAAATAAACTTCACGTACTTCATTTTGAAACGAGGATCCAACACAACGGCAACCAACAACAACAACATATTCATAACATCAAAATCACCCCAATATTTATCAAACTTACCTTTCATCTTCTTAGCCATACCAGTCAAAAGAAAATCATCACACTTTGAATAATTGACAATTATGCTTTGAAGATTAAAAAGCTCATGAAAGAAAGTATTTGAAGTAACATGTAAAGTACTCGAAAATTTCAAAGTGGTTTGATAGAAAATCTCTAGAAACTTGAGAAATACATTCACATCTCTCCAGTCTTCTGAAGATGGATGCTCTATCTTTCCACATGAGTCAAGAAAATATTTAAAGTACTTATGATCATCTATATACATTCTTGAAAATGCCTTTTCAAATTTGACAGCAGTATTTAACATCAAATATATAGAGTTCCACCTCATCTCAACATCCAAACTCAAAAGTCCACGAGTATCTAGTTTAACCTTGTCAACATATGCCTTGAAATAAGTAGTTCTTGCACAAGAAGACAGAACATATTTCACAACATTTCTTACCCGAGAAATAGACTTATTTTGTTCACTCAATCCTTCTTTCACAATCAAGTTTAGAATATGGGCATTGCACTTAACATGTAAAAAATTATTTTCCATGATAACACCTTTCCAATCACTAATTCTCCTTGCATCATTACCTGTTGCATTATCAAATGTTACTGTAAGTAGATTTTGTATTCCCCAATCTACCAAACAAGATTCAATAGCTTTTGCAATAATCTCACCTTTGTGATCTGGAGTTTGAAAAAAATTCAAAATCTTTTTTGCAACTTCCACTCATCATCAATCCAATGGGCAGTAATGACCATATACGTAAAATTTTGGAGTGAAGTCCATGTGTGCCACACCCAACACCTACAACATTGACACTGCTAGCACCAGCTCCCATGGCATCTTTAGACAAAATGTCAAGTTGGGTCATGATCCTTGCCATGTTTTGTTCCCTCTCTTGATCTTTCTCAAGTTGCTCCTTTGCCAATTAAAAGTGAGAAGGTATACCTGATCTTCACGAGTGTACCATGCCTGGTTAATTTTGGTCATTCCATCCAAGAGTTGGGCTGCTATAATGTAAGGTTGTTGCATTAAACCTCCCGGAGAAAGTTGGTCAACTACTCCCTTGTTCACCGAATCAAGGCTTCGATAAAAGTATTGCAGCAAAATGTTGTTGGGCAAACCATGAGTTGGGAATATAGCACCAACTTCTTGAATCTCAACTAAGTCTCATGGATTGGCTCACCATCCAAACGCTTGAAGCTTTGGATGTTGTCCCTAAGTGTCATCATTTTCGAATGAGGGAAAAATCTTTATTGAAATGCGGTGACAAGCTTTTCCCACGAAGTGATGGAGTCTTGATACGCTCAAATTACACCTCCCTAAAGAAGCGTAAGCTATCGTTATCAAGTAAAGAACCCAACTTGTAGGTTGGGGTCGATCCCATGAGAAATATGGTTTAGACTTAACTTTAACCCACGATTATATACGTTTAGTCAACGTACTTCCGAAACAAATAATTAAAGGGGCGAGGGAGGATTTGTGAAACAAATTCTGGAAACTATGTGAACAAGATTTAAACTTTAGGTGTTATCAAGATGAGAGAGAAATTAGGGTATACGTGTTCCCCATAAGCTCATAACGCGGTAATCCTAGTAATAGTAATCATTTCCTAGTGTATTACATGCAAAGTGATAAGTTCGGTATCTCTAATTCCTTGGTCCGGCAACTAGAGAATTTCACCCCGCACATTGGTCCGGCTACGTTTGTATAATTTACTAACCCTTACCTTTACCTCATATTAGACATCGCATCAATGTATGGCTTAGTCTTCACCCTCGCACCAATTGACACTAGACTATTAGATAGTATCACACTAAATCTATGTTGATAATTCTTTTCTTATTAACTACCTCCTTGGTCTGGCAAGTAGCAACAAGGCGAGTTCTAACATTAGCCACCGTTAAAAAGACTTCTAAACGAAGAATTATCAATGCATGCAATAACACTATTCAAGAATTACTTAGTTACTATTCATACGTTGTTAATCGCTCATGGTTCCCACAACCCTAGTTGTAGATTTAGTTACCCATAATAGCAAGAACACATTTCATATTTTTAGATGAAGAAATCATGAACTTACGTAATGAGAAGAATAAACCCAGAATCTCAACTTGAATTTCAAAGTCAAAATCTTCAAAATGAACTTAGAAAATCAAGAATTGCTAAAGTTGCAAGTTAATCTCCAAAGCGAAAAACTAGAATAAAAGTAATAAAGTCTCACCCCCAAAAACGAAGTTTACATGCCCTATATATAGAAAGACAAATCCCAACTAAAAAGGAAACAAAATAAGGAAATAAAGTTTCTAGACGCGGTTGTAGTTGACGACATTGACCTACAGTCCGTAGGTCCCTTCCGTGATTTGGGACTTAGGAGATTTTTCAACTCTTCAAATCTCCTCCTCTTAGTTGCAATTGACAGATCAACATCACAGACCGTGATTCAATCCACGGTCCGTGGATCCTTCTCCATGGTTTCATACTTAGACTTTTGAAATCAGGTACTGGAACACCCTTCTCTGAATGGTTTGACGGACTTGCAGGACGGCTCGTAGGTCGACCTATGGTCCATAAGTTGAGGTCGTGGTTCCACACTTGGTCAACAACTCCCTGATTTCTTCTTCATGCTTTGCCTGTCCATCTAAGATCACAATCTACGGAACGTGACTGGACCTACAGTCCATGAGTCATTCCACGTCCGAACTTAATTCCTACAAACATGATAAAAAAACATTACTACAAATACAAAATGGCTCTAGACACATACAACTTGTAAGTGAAATATATTAAAAATACCGTAAAATCACGGTATATCAAGTCTCTTGGCAATTCAACCAACCACTTACATGCTTCTCCCATTAAGGAAAATGGGAACAACCTCAATCAGACCGACTGTTGGGATATGTTCTTGAAGGAGAACGACCAGCAAACATCAACAAAGTTCCTTATATGCTCATGGGGATCCTCATGAGCCAACCCACCAAACAATCCTTTCAATTACAAGAGCTACAACATGATGCTTATGATGTGGAACACAACGTTCCCTTCATTCGGAGGCAAGAAAATGGCACCAACTCCACCCACAAGATTAGGATCATTAGCATTCGGCTCATTGAGATTGCCGATGTCATCTTGGTGGCCCACTTGGCTACTATTGCTTCCGTTGACATTTATTTCCTCTGTTTTTAAAACAACAACACAAACAAAAACTAAAAGTAAGTAGATTCAACTATAACTAAAAAGAACAAAATTCAACTTCACCAAAGAATCTCAACCAACGTTTCACGGACACTTCATCCAATTCTAAGTGTCAACGATCGCTAGTCAGTATAAACCCCAACTAATTAACGTTTCAAGGACACTTCATCCAATTCTAAGTGTCAACGATCCCTAGTCAGTATAAACCCCAACTAAATGATTTGGGGTCGAATCCCATAGGGAGCGGTACGTGTTTGAGATTCAATTTGAAAGTACAAATTTGGTAAAATCAGTCATAGGGATAAATATTATCGAATAAAAACATAATTCAAATTAGGGAGTGACACGAATGTAAAATGAGGGGTTTTGGTTTGGAATTATGAACTACAAACAGTGGCAAACAATACAAAATAACAATAATGAGACGGGTTCTTGGGTTGTGATTCGATTATAGGCTAATGTAGACAGATGGGTAATTGCAGCTATTAACAAATAGATAAATATTAGTGAGTAAGCTAGGGTGTAGATGAGATAAACTTTCTCTTGAACAATTTATCCCGAATCAAGTTGATTTCTCTCGAATATCAACAAGCAAGCAAAATAAGGACAACCCACACCTTAGTCCATTCACTCTCTCGAGCTGAATGTGTGGGATTGGGTTTAAGATTCACTCTCTCGAGCTGAACCCAGGTCAATCCAATACCCACTGACCATCAATCAATAAGCTTAGTTTTAAAACTTCTCTCTCGAGCAAGCCATAAACACGAGGGTGGAACTGCATTTGAAACTACAATTCTTAAATTAAACCACAATTGATGATTGAACTCACTTCTAAATAACATTTAAACTAACAATTAGCAATACGCATAAACTAAATCCGCCCATAATCACATAATCACACCCCAAGAATTGGGGTTTTATCTAGACATTATAAAAAGATAAAAATTGTTACCAAATTGAGTTTCCATCAATTGGGTAAGATTGATTTCGTCTTTACAATGTTCCAATTCGAAGAATATGAAAGACCCACTTCCAATTTCTCAAAAGTGTAAAACTTCAATTCTCCAAAGTTTAGGAAAACTAGAGAAAACTTGTCTCAATGCTAAGAATATTATGATATTAGATATAATGAAAATTTCATTCTAAGCTAAATGTTCAAAAATGTATTTATAGTCGTCAAAAATATGCTGCGAAGAGCCACTTGGTGAAGTAAGTCGGGCTTGCCGAACCACTCGGTGAGCCGCTCTTTGGTCACTTTCATCGCCTTTCTGCCTTGGCATTCGCATTCTCAAGTTCTGTAACTTTGGGCGATCCAACACTACATCGCGGAACCACTCGGCGAACCGCCCTTTGGTCACTTTCATCGCCTTTCTGCCTTGGCATTCAGCATCCTGAAGTTCTGTAACTTTGGGTTATCCAACACTACATTGCGAAACCATTCAGCGATCCGCCGACTGCTCCTTTCTCTCGCCAACTTGGTTCTTTCCTTCAGGGCTTGGCACACTGGAACTTTAGGTGGTCAAATAGTCATTCCGCGATTCGTCAAGTGGACTTGGCGATCACCAGGCTTGCATTTCTTCATTCTTTGAGCTCGCTTTGTTCCTTATTGCAAATTAGTGTCCTTGCTTTGTTCCTCAATCAATATACCTAGAAATCAAGGGCTTTACATCAATTATTGGCACAAAATAAGCATTTGAGGATACTAAATCTATATAAATAAAACCATAAATAAGTCCAAATCTCAGACTCATCAGTTGTCTATGAGTAGCATATTGATTAATGTTTCAAGGACACTTCATCCAATTCTAAGTGTCAACGATCGCTAGTCAGTATATAACCCAACTAAATGAGTTGGAGTCGAATCCCACAGGAGTGGTACGTGTTTAAGATTCAAAGGGAAAGTACGAATATGCTCAAGTCAGTCATAGGAATAAACATTTACGAATAGAAACATAATTGAAATCAGGGGGTGACACGAATGTCAAATATAGGGGTTTTGGTTTTAATTATCAACTACAGTAGCATCAAATAATACGGAATAAAAATAATGAGACGAGTTCTTGGGATGTCATCCGATCATAGGCTAATGTTGACAAATAGGTAATTGCAACTGTTAGGAAATAGCTGTAAATTAGTGAATAAGCTAGACTATAGAGGAGGTAAACTTTCTCTCGAACAATTTACCCCGAATCAAGTCAATTTCTCTCAAACATCGATAAGCATGCAAAATAAGAACAACCTACGCCTTAGTCCATTCACTCTCTCGAGTTAAATGTGTGGAAAAGGGTTTAGGATTCACTCTCTCGAGCTGAACCCATGACAACCCAAAACCCACAGATCATTAACCAATAATCTTGGTTTTAAAATCTCTCTCTCGAGCAAGCCAAAAACATGAAGATAGAATTGCATTTGCAACTACAATTCTTTAAATTAACCCACAATTACTGATTGAAATCACTTCTAAATAGGATTTAAACTAAAAATTAGCAATATTGATAAACTAAATCAGCGCATAATCACACCCCAAGAGTTGGGGTTTTAGCTAGACATCATAAAAAGATAAAAATCGTTACCAAATTGTGTATCCAGCAACTGGGTAAGATTAATTTCGTCTTTACAAAGGTCCAAATTTAAGAATCTCAAAGACCCACTTCCAATTTCTCAAAAGTGAAAAAACTTCAATTC